AACCAACACACCATAAGCTGGCCCTGCCTTTAAAGATTTTTTTAAGATCAAGAAGCAAAATGAACTCAGAAAGAGCCAAATCAGGACTTTTAAGTGGATGTCTAATAATTTTTCATTAAAACTCTAACAAATTTGCTCTTTAATGAGTAGAATGAGAAGGAGCATTATTGTGTAGAGAAGGACTCCTTGGTGAAACTTTCCTGGATGTTTTTCAGCTGAAGCTGTAGCAGAAAAACAACCAGGGACACTCATAATATGCAGATGCTATCATTCTTTGGCCCTCCAGAAAGTCAATGAGCAAAATGTCTTGAGCATCCCAAACAACTATTGTCATGACCTTTGCTCCTAACTAGTCCACTTTTGCTTTGACTGGACCACTTCCACCTCTGGGTAATCATTGCTTTGATTGTATTTTGTCTCCGGGATCATACTGTTAAAGCCATTATTCAAAGGCATGCTTTAGAATCTTGATCTCACTTGTTTAAAATTTCCATTGAAAGTTCTGTTCTTGTTGACTTACTGATCTGGACACAAGATTTTGGGACCATCAAGCAGAAAGCTTTGCTAAACTTTAATTTTTCAATCAGAATTGTGTAAACTTAACCATCTGAGGAGTCTACAGTGTTGGCTATTGTTGTTAGTGGTTAATCTTATGTCTTTTTCAGTTAGGGCATGAACAAGATTAATTAATTTCTCACAAATTGATGTGGATAGTCTGCTGGTATGGATGCCATCTTCAGCATTGTCTCCCTTCTTCTTCCTTCCCTTTCTTGTAAACTGCTGATTTCTTTGGCATGTTGTCCTCATAAACTTTTTGGGGAGCATCAGTGATTTTAACATTATCCTACCCAAGCTTCATCAGAAATTTGGTATTTGTTCTTGCTTCAATTTTACCAGAATTCATACTGTTCTGATAGGAAGAGCTCTTTCACACTGATGTCTTACCCTTTCTAGTGCCTCAAACTAGATCCTGTTCAGCCACATTATAACAAGTTAGTACACGTTTATTTTGGTACAAACAATTTTTGAAATATATATATTTATATATATTTAGTGATATATATCTCATATTTCAAAGACCTCTCTTTTTGTCCATTGGTAAGTGGCGAGAACTCAGCTTGGATGAATAAGCAAGCCTTGAATCTGAGCTAGTGGGGGTAGACCTATGCAGGAATGGTAAGTCCTATGGATTATTTTATTTATTTATTTATTTTTGGATAGATTTTTGCTACAGGGCACATGCGCTCGACAGAAAGAGAGAGACAGAGAAAAAAAAAGTGAGAAATCACCCTCCCCAGGGGGGATGGCCACATCGCAATCCCTTATCCTCCATTCTCCTCTCAGGATCTTGGGCATGCACTCACATGTGCCCAGTGTGAGTTTAAGCCACCAGGTCTGGGACTCGAACCAAGGTTTACTACATGGGAGTCCAACAACATAGCCATTATGCCAATTGCTGGTCCCACCCTGTGGATTCTTTAGTTAAGTTGCAACATTGTGAATGGATCCTTCAGGGAGAGTAGCTGGTAGCCTTGAGTGAAGGATGGGCAGCAGGGAGCCCTGCTGAGCAAGTGTTCCAATAATTTATCATGGGACTCTGAGTAACGAAATAAGATTGGCAGCAGGAACACAGGAAGGGTGAACATTATAGAAATAATGTTTTCTGTAAGAAGCAATAAGACTTAACAATGTGTGAAATATATTAGAAAGTGAAAGAGTAAAGGGACAAAGGTGACTTGGGAAATTTTTATCTGGAAAGTGTAAGAATGTGCTACTCCCTGACTAGGTTTGGGTATACAGGCAGAAGTTGGGTGGCAGGGTGAGGCTTGGTGACCAAGATTATGAGGTCTGCTTTTTCCATCCTCTCTTCCTAAACTTAATGAATTTTTTTTATCCTATAATTTCCAGGCAAGCAGCCCCAAGAAAGGGAGTCAGAGGTAGTCCAGGAACCATGCTGTGGGCTCCTGTGTTGGGAGAATTGACAATCAATTCTTGTTCTATTTGTTCTGTTTGCTTTAATTATGTTTCACTCCAGGGAAAACAAACAAGCAAGCGTTAGCAGGGAGAACAGTGATGAGTGGAACTCATTTCCTGATTCCAGTGATGTGTTGAGAATCATGTTTAGTGGGACATTCTCTGGCTGCTAACCAGACTCTGCAGTCAGGTGCATTTATCCAAGAAATACCAAGAGAGAAGTAAAATGTTTCCAGACTTAAGAGTTTTGGGCTACCAAGATTTATCCTGCCTGACTGTAACTATTGGATAAAGGCAGTAGAGCAGGATTTAGTCCTGTCTGTCACTAGTTTGCTATGTGTTTGGGGGATATTCTGGGTCTCAGATTCATCTGTAAAGTGGGAAGGAGATTAGTCTTGGGTACGTTTGAATATGTATTGTCCCCTTTGAAACTCATGTTGAAATCTGATTCTCAGTATAGTGACATTAGGAGGTAGGGTCTTGAAGAAGTGATTAGATCTTGAAGGAGTCGCTTCTAAGGAGAGCAGGTCTAAACCAAAGGTGCACCTGGTGTTTGGTCCCTCTTGCATGTGCCTATTCACCCTTCTGCTCTTGCTTCACTTGGGCCTCACTTGACTGCCCAATCTTGGGCTTCCCAGCCTTTAGAATCAAGAGCCAAAGTAAACCTTTCTTTGCATATTACCCAATCTCACGTGTTCTGTTACAGCAATAGCAAGTGGACTAAGATAGTCTTAAACTGTAGCTGTATCAGAATTACTTAAGCAGCTTCTTATACATGTGAGTGCTTGAACTCACCCTTTTCTGCTGTGGACCTAGGTGTCTGTCTGCATGTTTAGCAAACTCTGAGCTCCAATGGAGGTAATGCTGGGCACAACCCTGGCCTGGACAGTTTCTGTAGCTCCTTTTGGTCAAGATGCCAGGTTAGCGCTTCATATAGTTCTCTAGAACCACTGGCTATGTGGCTTGCTGCTGGAGTCTCTTTCTGCTTGCTACTCAGTCCCTTGCACTGACCTGTTTTGTTGTCTGAACTGCCTGGCTTTAGATAAAATAGGTCCTGTGAGTGAGCCCTGGGGATTTATCATGGAGGGTGGGTGGGGATCCAGAGCGGGGGTCATGGACCGGCCTAGCCCAGGCCTACTTAGGGAGTGGTGAGAGGGGGAAGAAGTCCCCCTCCCCTTTCACTCATGGAGACCTCTGTTGACTCTGAGTTCCAGAATATTCTGGCAGTTTGACAGCCAGGTGCAATGCATCTTGGTTCTCGAAGATGCCCTCTGTCTCGGCCTGCAACCTCCTCCTGTCACACTGGCTATTCTGCTTTGGCCTTTGATCTTGAAGCCAGAACACTGGCCCTACAGGATGGCCTGGTTGTGCAAAGACTGCAAGAGAAAGTGAGGTGGTGAATGGGGGAGGCCAAGGCAGAGAACTGCAGCTGTCCTGGCGGGAGCCATGTTCACTGTGGGGGCTCAAAAGTGTGAGTCCCTCACTTCCAAGGAACTGGGGAAGCCTTGCCCAGGTGTCCAGATCCAGGTCGTGGTGTCTTTAAATCACATCACAGGTCCGAAAGGACTGGGAAGGCAATAGTCCAACGCAGGGTTTGAGGACCTGTCTGTTCTTGTGGCAGACAAACATAAAGGGCCCCCAAAGAAGCCTATACCCAGACCCTTAGAATTGTGAGTAACTGAGTTTACATGGCAATATGGACTTTTCCCACATGATTATGGTCACCACCTGCAGAAAGAGCGATTCTCTTGGATTTTCCAGGCAGGCCTATCTAATAACATGAGCCCTTAAAAGCACAGCACTTTCTCCAGCTGAGAGGGAAGATATGGCAGAAGGGGAAGAGATCTGAAGTTCATGGAATTGACTGGGTCAGACTGGGATATCAGTTGATCCCCTTGAGGCACACAACCACAGGCATTCTTTGGGCCACCCAGCACAGAAAGTTACTTACCTGGTGGAGGCATCTCTGGAGCCAACTTCTCCCTCAGGCTGGGAAGGACTCGATATGTGCTGAGATGCAGGCCCACCTGTCTGGAGCAGAGAGAGGCCTCGTGAAGCTCTGGAGCCAACTTCTCCCTCAGGCTGGGAAGGACTCGATATGTGCTGAGATGCAGGCCCACCTGTCTGGAGGTCTCGTGAAGTGAAGCAGAAAGTAGACCGCCAGGCAGAGTAAAAACTGGCCTCATCTGCAGACAGCAAGGGAACCAGACTCCAGTCTTACAGCTGCAAGGCACTGAATTAGCCAGTACTTGAACGATCTTGGAAGAAGGTTCTTCCCAGGAAGCTTCCCAAAGGAACCCAACTCTGCTGACACATTGACTTTAGCTGGTGACGCTGCATCAGACTTCTAACCTACAGATCTGTGAGGTAATAAATAGGTGTTGCTTGGAGCCACGTTTCCTATTTCTTACAGCAGTCGTAGAACATCGGTGCAGTTCCTGGCTCCCCAGTATCACCCAGAGAGTGGAACCACAGGGCTAGGGCTTGGGCTCCACCTTAGGGAAGACTGACACACAGTTCCCCCAGGAGGGGAGGTACTTTCTCAAGAGGCTGTGAGCCAGAGCCTTGGGCAAGAGTCTACTCTTTAGATGAACCAAATGCCTTCATGAAACTCCAGGGATGGCCACCCTGGGGGAACTTCACTCTCTCTCCCAAGGTCCAGCAGATTCTCAGATAAGAGCAAGGTTCCTCCAGGGTCACAGGCCCCTCTGCCACTGCTTTACTCCAAGGAATCCTGGGTCCTCCAGAATTCCTCATTCTCAGTTCCTGAAACAGGATCATGGCCAGTGGGGACCCCCTGGCGGGTGAGGGGCAGGGGCCAGGAGAGCTGGAGGCTAGGCTCCTGGCTCTAATTTGCCTGAGAACCTTGGGGCCATCTTTCTCTCCTCAGGTCAAGTGTTCTTCAACTGTAAAGGAAGGAATGTGACAGAATGCCTCAAAGTTTCCGTCTAGGATTGCAACCCCTTTAAGTCTTTAGGGAACCCTGAGCCCAACAGGGCAGCACACCGGCCAGCCTGTGGGGAAAGATGAGGGGAGGCTTGGAGACAGTCTACGAGGCGCAGGGAGCTTCCACACCTCCCCCGGCCCGGCCCAGCTCGGCTCAGCCCAGCCTGGCGGGCGGGTCACAAGCGCAGCCGGCCGGCCGCCTCTCGCGCCCCCTGCGCTTTGCTGCAGTGCCCTTGCCCTGCGCCACCGTCCACTCCCCAAGTCCGACCGGCGCTCCAGGTGACGGTGACCCTGCCCGGGGTGTGGGGCAAAGAGGACATGGCCCGCCTGCGAGCGGCCGCGCCGGCACCGGCCCTGGCGCTGCTGGCGGGGGGCCCGGGCGGGGGCGGGGGGGGGGG